TTTCTTTCCTTTTTTTTTTTTTTTTTTTTTTTTTTTTGTGGAGGGAGGGGATAAAATCACATTTTCACACTATTATGAACTTCAGATCATATTGATAAAAATAAAGAATGAATGTTTTCCAGTTAGTTCAGAATAAAGGTCCTATAATATTACTTCATATCTGTCAACATTTTATGAATGGGTACATTAATTTGAAAATGGGAGTTGGTGTTTTCATTGTCTTTCTCAGTAAAAATTAAAGCTTAATGAAATAACAGGACAGGATATGTACATATTTTTTATAGTTACATTAATATAATTTTTTCCCAAATTCCGGAGGTGGCTTGTTGCAGAATGTGTTTAATTTTTTCATCTGAATCAAGATTTACAATCTTAGTAGCTGACAACCAGTAAATTAATGAGAGAAAAGATGTGACTGGAAATTCTGCTTTTTGTGTGAACATCAATGCTTTTTTCTATAACAGGACAAAGTGGGATATTTGCATATATTTATATTCTGTTGCCCTTAATATGAAATAATAATCCACCCATTAATATATATCTACTATAATAACCGTTACAGGTGGATGGAGTATTCCTAGTCATGATTGGGGTAGGCGCATGCCAAACTGTGGTGATGAAACAAAAAAATTTAAAGTGCACTTTCCCAAATTCATACATAGTACCTACCAGCAGAATGAATGTATTTGGCATATAATAGAGAAAGAAATCATTTTTTGAGGATTGTTCTGTATTTAGGATTTATTTTAGCTTGTTTCCAGGTTTTGCTATTTTGTGGCCATTGAATGAATGGTTGATTCCTGATTGTTGCATAGTGTGATTCAGAAATTTAGACACTCCATTCCATGTATTTGAGCTCATCCCAATTCTTAAACTCAAATAACTTGATAAGAAATGCACAGAAAATGTTGAGTTGATGGCAAACCAATCGACTTTTTGAAAAATGAAGGGCATGTGTTCTAATAAGAAATGTTAGAGATTTTTGCAGGACTTTTGAATGAAACTTTAGGACTTTGGATTAGAAAAAAAAATGAAAATAAACAGCATTTTACACTGTAATATTGCTAAATATGTGCTGCTTGCATGTTCTCCGTGCATTTAATCAAATGAAGCTAGACTCAAGTCTAGCCTTGCTTTTATGCAGCTTGTTAGCAGCATGGATATTAATATTTCTTTATTGTATAAATGCTTGACTTTTACCTCTGTCTTCCTGTGTTATTAACAGCATGTTACTTACTGGATCAATAAAAAATACCAGACCAGGTTTTAATCATTTTGTAAGGTAGTAGAGGTTTATTTTTATTTTTAGGCAGGGCACTATATAAATAAAAAGTTGATTGAATTTAGCAGTGAAGGCCAAGTCTGCATAACTTTCGATATTAAGCATACTTTTTTATTTTTTCTTTTCTTCCACATGTAAATAGTTGTCTCTCTTTTGCCTGGTCTGGCATCGATTTCATTTCAATTTACAGACCTTTTTACACAAGAATGTTATTTATTTATTTTATAAAACAGATGCCCGCCACTCGGATAAATCAACAAGCAACCTGGCTCTTCAGAGGTCTGACAGTACAACAGAGTTTCAGCCTATTGGACCAAACCGTGAAGTGGAATATTTTTTTGCTTCCGATGCCAGGTATAAGTTACATACATATTTCCACTTCTCATCGTCAGTATGAAGGTAAACTAAAGATCCATATCATCAATGTCACTTATTTCACCAGCATGTCAAGATTGTTGCCAGAAGTCTGTGTGTTTCCAAATCTGCCAATTACTCAAAATGTTCAAATTCCTCACTGTATCAATGCTTTATTTTTGTCAAGATTTATCTTTTTCAGATACTCACAAAAACATACTTTCTGGCATGATCTTCATCATCCTTATTCTGTTTTTAAACTTAAAAATTCTCTTTATCGTATATTAGCAAAACAATTTTAGGGGAATATCATAAATCATTTTTTTTTAAATTTTAGTGAGCAGTAACAATATAGTAATCTGTCTTTCAACAAATATGCGTCAGTGTTGTTGACTTCAGTATTCTTTGCTGTCCCTGTTTTCAGTGCCATTAAGATAAAACTTACTTTTAAATATTTATGTCATCCTGGTACAATCTAGTATTGTATGTGTATGAGGTGTATAATAAATTATGCATATGTATGGATGTAGTATTGATATATTGTTTAACCTTGATTTTCAGGAGCTCTTGTCCAATTCAAGAACTTGGTCTAAATGTATATAACATGGTCCATGTCATTCTTTGAAAGAACTGTACACATGTGCAATGTCTTTTTTGCCAGTCATTTCAATGTAGTTATGTGCATTATTCATCTGCATCTATGTCAAACAAAAACAACCACTTCAGTCTAACCCCAATAAATTATCATAATAAGTGAAATTGCACAGGGGGTTGTAAACAAGTATAATGTTTCCAAGCAGCTATTCCAATTTGTTGATGATTTTTTCGACTCAAATTTTGTTCACTGAGCCTACAACATAGTCACATGTTTCTGTTTTCAGTGCTATAATAGAACACACCAACCAGGTGATCTACCTGGAGGACGATGACGTGGCTGCTGTCAGTGAGGGAGCTCTGTCTATCCACAGGATCAAGAGATCCATTGATGAGTCCACTGTGAGAGAGGTGATCACTCTCAAGATGGAGATTCAGCAGATTATGAAGGGTGGGTTTAGTTTTGTGCTCTTATTTATTAAAGGGATAACAACTCTTTGTATGAAATCTTTATTTCACAATAAAACATTGTAAACAACTCAAGAAAATATAAGATATTCTATTTCACCACCAAAAATGGCAGTTAAAGCAATTATTCTAAGATCTGTGCTTGTCATCCAACCGTGTGACCTCCATAGACAGCTATAGTCTGTAATAATCTCTTAAGAGATTATTACAAAAAAGCAAACTTTCTAGAAAAAAAAAACAGGGACTAAATTTGAATGTAGAAATGGATTCAATTACCATTGGTAAGAATGGGAACATTGTTGTTTACCCCAAGAAAATTCATTTTTTGGCCAAAATGAACGATTGTTATCCCTTTAAGAACTTTGTAACTTCTTGTCCTGTGAGGCCACAAGTCCAGCTGGTGTTTGAGCGCATACAGAACAAGCTAACAGATTCGCGCATCAAATATGAAAGCTTGCCCCTAATCCCTTTGTTGACATTGAATAGATCCCAGTAAAATGCGACAAGCCTGCAAGTGGGTAGGCCGTATTTGATCTGCTGATCTGTTTGTCTGCGGATCATGAATGCGGCCTCACTCATGTTTTTTTGGGTCTTTCACCAATTGAATGATAATTCTTGACAATTTGCTATAATGACAAGCTGTATTGATTTCTGGAGTTAGACAATGAAGTTTACAAAATGGAAACAAGTGGAAGGAAGTCGGCTAGTATAAAAGACAAAAAATTAATTTCCTGCAAACATTTTTGAAATATCATCACTTTTTATGTAAGAACATGTCCATTTATGTGTCTTAAAACAAAATGTAGGCAATGGCTTTGCCATGGCCGGTAGTAGATAAAATTTGTTCAAAAAGTTCATCATTTTTGTGGACTGAATATTCAGGTGGTGAAACATACCCAAGTCTATCTTTATCTCATTTTTTGCCTTTTTTTTACAGGCAGCTTCAGCAGCTTCATGCAGAAGGAAATCTTTGAGCAGACCGAGTCTGTTGTGAACACTATGAGAGGACGTGTGAACTTTGAGACAAATGAGGTAGTCCTTGGTGGCATCAAGGACTATATGGGAGAGATCAAACGTTGCAGACGTCTTCTTTTCATTGCATGTGGGACCAGTTATCACAGTGCAGTTGCTGTAAGTAATACTAGCTGTGGTTTGTAGTGTTTTAGATCTACTGTTTTGAATACTGCACATGTAGTATGAGACACACCCTCTTCTAAAAGTGCAGATTAAAAGTAAACTGAGAACAGCATGACCTGTAACTTGAATGCTGGTACACAGTATGATAAAATCAACAACCAAGTCATTTTCAGTTCTCTTTTGATGCTTACACTGATTAATTGCCTTGTAATTTGCATCAGTAAAAGCTGCAGGACCTTCTGTTTCAATTTTTTTCTTTTTCATATTTCACTTATATATATATTCTATATATTTATTAATATTGGCATTATTTTTAGACAAATACTGAAAGTATTTCTCCATATCATTATGTGTTTTATTTTCAGACTCGCCAACTTCTGGAGGAGTTGACGGAGTTGCCAGTCATGGTGGAGTTAGCCAGTGATTTCCTGGACAGAAGTACACCTGTGTTCAGAGATGACGTCTGCTTCTTTATCAGTCAGTCAGGTAAGGGGGCAGAAAACCGATTTCTCTTTAAGGTTTGATTGAGGTTGGATTGGAACTCTGAAACGTAGGGCAAAGATTTATCAATAATGTAAGATTAAACATGGGGTATATTCTCTCTAAAGGAAGTATTTTTGGTATGGGATAGTACCAACTTATTCAGTAACTGGCCAAGTAGACTGAAAGAGAAAATTCCTGTAGGAAAAATTCAATACAGTAGAAAAGGAAAAGGATTCAAGACTCCTTGAAAAAAAACATTTTCCACATTTCATTATTTGCATTAACCTTATTAAAAAAAACTGTGGAGTGAATGTTCACAGGTTGTGTTGTTATTTTTTAGGTGAGACTGCAGATACTTTGATGGCTCTGCGTTATTGTAAGGGAAGAGGAGCTTTGATTGTTGGTATCACTAACACAGTGGGCAGCAGTATTTGCCGTGAGTCTCACTGTGGTGTTCATATCAATGCCGGACCAGAAATTGGTGTGGCCAGTACTAAGGTAAAGATGGTGAAAACAGTGCTTGAAAATATGCTTATACAAACATTGATATGATGAATTTATTTTGAAGTAATGCTTATTAATCTGTGATGTGATATTACAGTAAATTTAATTGAGTTGTATTTTTAGTAAAAATTAAAATAGCTTGTTAGTCATAAATCAGAAAAAGAAAAAAAAGGTCAGAAAATATGTTTCTAGAAATTTGTTTCAAGAGACATTGAGTTTAAATGAAATCAGTTCTAAAATATTTCAGTGGAGATGAGGTGGGGTGCAAAATACCCTCATAGTGATTTTGCTACACTGTTACATGTTACATTTCTAGGCCTACACTAGCCAGTTTATCTCTCTGGTAATGTTCGGTCTGATGATGAGTGACGACAGGCTGTCCATGCAACAACGAAGAAAGGAAATTATTCAAGGATTGCAAAAGCTTCCAGGTGAAAGAATATCAGATTTAAATAGATCTCTCTGTGGGTCTTCTTATTAGTGGACAAGTAGATATGAGTTTTTTTTTTTTGTTTTTTTTTACGATAGACAATATTATTAGTGTAATGTGCAGTTTTAAGGACTCTAGTTTTAGTTCGCTAGGTAGTTAGTTGATTAATAAGTTCTTGTCTTTTTATTTCAGTATACCATTTGTAAGACAAAAAGGCATATTTATAATTATTTTTGGAAAATCACCTGTTTTGACCGCATGGAGTTGCTAAAATTTCCCCTCATATTTAATTTCTATATTTATCAGAGCAAATCAAAGAGGTTTTGAAGACGGATGAGAAGATCCATTCCCTGTCCCAAGAGCTGTACCAGCAGAAGAGTTTGTTGGTGATGGGCCGAGGATACAACTATGCTACATGCCTGGAGGGTGCACTGGTGGGTTGGAGGAGATCTTAAGATTTTTTTTCATTTCTTTTTTTTTTTTTCTTTTATTTTACCTAAAATCTGTCTTTTTAAGTAGCTTACTTTGTTACATGTAACACCAGATTTTAAAAATTTGGAATTGCTTTTTTATCAAAATTTACCTGATTTAATTTATTTAATGTAATCTTACTCAAAAGGTCATATAAAGTCCTATAAATGCGTGCCTATTTTAACTTATCTACCAATGAAATGGTTCCAGCAATAAAATATGAACTTTATTAATTGTGTTGTTCTTATCTTCAGAAAATCAAGGAATTGACTTATATGCACTCAGAGGGTATCTTGGCTGGTGAATTGAAACATGGGCCACTGGCTTTGGTAGACAAAGCTATGCCTGTCATTATGATTATAACAAGGGACAACCTGTATCCTGTAAGTATAATCTTATCTAACACTGCTTTATCTGTGAAATATGGCCTATTTAGAAGGCTGTGTCAGTTATAAACACTTATATTGTAGTTTTACCAAGTGTTACAATGTTTAATTATTAATTCAAATAGTACTTAAGTGTTGTTGATGTTACCAATTACCAAATATACATTATTAGGAGTAATATGTTTGTTTTTTCGTTTTCAGAAATGCATGAATGCATTGCAGCAGGTTAAGGCCAGACATGTAAGTATAGTGTGTGCTTGCCAAGAGAATTGGCTGCAACCTATGTCTGTTAAAGATAGATCAAAACATAAAGATCAGTTGAATAAAAGTAGCATGATTTTGTGCACTTCCACATTTTTTAATACGTTATTTAAGTACTTTCATTTTATATGAACTGTAATGTATATTGTAACTGTGAAAATTGAATACCATATAATACACAATTAGAAACTGAAATATTGAAAAGTATGCGTTTCATTGACTTGTTGTTTCTTGCATTTACCTTGATAATTGCTTAACTAACAGTTTACATTGATTTTGTTTGCTTGACTACTGAGATAATTTCTATTAACATAAAAGATTGTGTAAGATTGAACACTACATTTACTTTACATTATTGAAAATGGATGTTGTTTAATGCTTGCCATGCCTCTTTACCCATTTGAGTGATATTATTTTGCGTTACTCCTCACAATAAAGTTTCATTGGGATTATGATGTTGCAAGTGCATGACTTAAACTGTAGCCTGAATGATGCCCTGGGCTAAATTTGCAACCTTGTGGCCTCTGACCTTTGCACCTTGTGTGACCTATTTTTCCTTAATGTCTCACTTACTCCACTGTTACTAACTGAAAAGTGCATGAAATTGTGCATGAAGTGAAAACTAACAGCCAAATGCATGCCACTACTATCTTACCTGGTATTAACCCAACTGTTACTTGTTGAGAGCTGCAGAAAACTGAGCATGAGGCAAAAGCAAAGAGCCAAATGCAAGTGAACTTTTGCAGAATGTGTAAAGGTTTTTAATGTCCTAATCCCTATTCTCTTATTAACCTTCTTTGTAGAGTAAGGTGTTTTTAAAAATCTTTAGTTTACATGTAATTAAATAGCAACTGGTGTCTTAAGTAGTACTTTATTGAAAAAATAGTTTGCCTTCGAGGTGTTGTTCTTCCATTGATAATTTCTATATCTGTGCCTCTTATGTTCATTTCTTTGAAAGATTTGATTTGAAGTGGATCCAAATCTCATTTATTCTTTTACCCATATTTGACATTTTTCAAACAAATAATCTGTCTGTGTTTTCTGTATCTGTCCTGTTTACTATGTTGTCAGTGTACTGTGCTGTAGTGTAAAAGGTGATAGAAAGTTTAACAAGTTCCATGGTGTGATTCTCTGCATTGGTCATGGTGTTGGACTCTTTGAGGTTAGGGGAATCTAGATAATAGTTTTGGAGGAAAAATCAGTTCATTCAAAAAATGTTGGACAAGTTGACATTGTTAATGTCAGATTGGGACCTTTTCTTGTAGTGACATAGCACTTATTCTCCTTGAGTTTCTTAATGATAGAAGCTAACTTTTTCAAAGTTAAAAGGAAAACTTATGGTACCAAGAAAGGTAATTGTTTACTATCTTATTTGTAAAACTACTTAATATATACTGGGACGATGGCGTAGACTATTTGAACATGCCCTACTAAATTTTGTTGGATTATAGACAGATAAAGTGGTGGTGGTAACTTAAAACATTCCCTTATTGTGTGTAGTGGCCATTAGTTAGTGAGAGGTCACACAAGGTGTGCAAGTTGAAGAAGTGGCAAATATGACCCTGTTTTTTTTTTACATCCATATCTTGGGCCAACTCTTCCTACCTTCAAAAGGAACTTTTGAATTGAGCCATTTGTAGGCATAAAAAATAGCTCAGTTTTACTTTCAAACTACTAAAAATTAATAAAAAGCTCAGTAGTTACAAAACTTTCAAACATGTTATGATGTCAACATGGAATTTTTTTATGAAAAACGTAGAAGTTATGATTACATTTTTGACAAAAGAGAAAAGATAAAACAACAAAGAAAAAAAATCACTGCTTATTATGAACAATCCTCTCAAATTTCCCTTTTCTTTTTGTCTTGTGGTTCTGCTTCAGCTTGTGTTTTGCTAATTTTGGTGTTAATAATGCTGCATGTTGACTGCAAAATGGACCTTGTTTTTAGGGTCAACCAGTGGTTATTTGCAACGAAGGTGATGAAGAAACAATAAGGATGGCATACAAATGTCTTGAAGTGCCTTTAACAGTGGACTGTTTACAGGGGATTATCTCAGTTATCCCCCTGCAGCTCGTGTCGTACCACATTGCTACCTTAAGGAACCTGGATGTAAGCAATCCAACATTAGCTGTAAAGGGTCACATCATGGCAACACCTGAGGCAACACACTGCTGCTGCCCCCTATTTTGTTTTGTGTGTTTGTATGTTGTTTTCTCCTCACATTGCTTTGCAAAGTAGAAAATTTGTGGCCATCTGAATTCACACTGTGATAGGATGTTTCACAATGGATAATTTGCATTAATTTTCAAACAGGCTGTCTGGCAAAATTTTGGTATACGGTGCTTGGAACTTGGAGTGAAAACTCTCCTGTCACTATGTAACCACCTTTTCTCATGTATGTGCTTTGCTTATGGATAAAAAATGATTTATCAAAAATATTAGCAACAAACAAAATTCCTCACCCAACTGCCCATACACCCCTGTATGATAAAAGGCAGCAGCAGATTGTTGAAAGGACTGTGAGAATGTGAGTGAATGGGTTGTTGTTGGTGGTGTGATGTGCATGTCTGGGATTACATTCCCTGGTTCACGTTGCAGGGAAGGCCAATAGTCGTATGCAACAAGGGGGACGCAGAGACTCAGTCCCATGCATATAAAATAGTGGATGTCCCTTACACAGTGGACTGTTTGCAAGGAATCTTAACAGTCATTCCCATGCAGCTTCTCTCCTTCCATATTGCTGTGCTCAGAGGATATGATGTAAGAACTAATAATGCATCCAGCTGCGGAGCAGTTTAGATGTTGTGTTTTGGTTTTCTGTTTTTGGTTTGGTTTTTTGTTTTTATTGAGGGGCGGGGGTGGATTTCGCCTTCAAGGAGTGTCAAATTTTAAAAAGGAAGGATGATGAAAATTTTTGTGGGAAGAGTGGTGGGGTACATTGGAAACACCAAGAAACTAAAACAGAGGGGTTGGAAAACTTCAACCGAAAGTGGAAATTTAAAGAAGAGTGCATGCTGGCATGACTATTTATTTTCAACCATTGTCAACAAAGTTCTTTGTTGACACATGGAGATGTATCAGCAGCTGTATACAGGCCAAATTAATCTATTAAACCTGTGCAAGCTTGGCAGGTAACTGTGAGTATTGTGTAATGTGAGATGCCATGCTTGGTGAGGGACGGTGCATATCCCCCCAGGTGTTGGGTGACATGTGACAACGGGTGACAGGTAAGTGACAAAATGTCTGTCATGTCCATCTAGTTGTGTCTGTCATTCATGTCTGTGCTGTTTGTGGCAGGGTCAGCCTCTGGTTATATGTGAGAATGGAGACGAGGAGACCAAACACATGGTCCATAAAACCGTGGAGGTGCCCTCCAATGTGGACTGCCTTCAAGGCATTCTCACTGTGATCCCACTGCAACTGTTGTCTCTTCATATTGCTGAGCTCAGAAAGTTGGACGTGAGTTTCCTACATTACAATATTATAATCATTGGTTCTTTGTAATTATGTACACTATCAAGATGGAGTATTGCACGTGGGGTTGATTTTTTAAAATTTGTTACGAGTATCAAAACGGCCATAGTGGTTCTAAGTGTGATGCATTATTATTATTATAGTGTAATCTCCATTCCTAGAGAGGGTATTACCAGAGTGTATATAAATTGGTAAAAAGAGAATATTACCCAAATATATTTTAGTTGAACAACTAATTTTTTATTTATTTATTTATTTATTTATTTATTTATTTTTTGGAGGGGGGGATATCTTTCCAATGTAATTTGCACCTCATTTTAAAAGATTTTGGAATAATACCTAACTTGTACCCACAACTGAGATGCATCTGGAAAGAATGTGAGTTTGTGTGGATATATGTTGTGATATTGTCTGTAGGTTCTTGTGTGAGTATGTGCACTGTGTTATTTATCATTGTTGGGACTTAAAAATGCATCCTGTTTTTGGAGAAGCAGTGTGTTTCTGTGTATATGTGCATGCATGTACATGAGATGCCTCCACAGTAAGTATGTGTAATATTAAGTAAATAGTGAAATGAAAATAGAGGTCAATCAGTTATCTCATTAAGTGTAAGTATATAGGTTTTTGACTAGTAAAATATTGTAAATATAACTGTTTTTGTTATTTTTATTTTAATTTAACTTTGTTGGTTCCATTGTTTACAGTAGCACATTTATGACTGAAATAGAGAGCTTGCAAACTGTCTATTCAAAATTATTTTTATTTTCTGTCTCAAAACCTGTAGTTACTATAGTAATTTTATCATTGTGCTTAATTGAAAAAGTGAAACAAGCTCAGGCACTGATTTAAATGGAATTTTTTCCTAGTGATCCATTGCTCCTGTCATTATCTTATCAGAAGACTTGACTAGTAGTTGGCTGATAGGAGGACTGACAACTAGTAGTGGAAAATAGAACCAAATCGGATCTATACTTTTTCAGTACAAACATGCCCTAGGAATGAATGTCTTCTTGCATGATACACAGTCTCTCTCTTTCTTCTGCTTTTACTTTACCATGATTATGCTATGCTTACAGGTCGATTGCCCAAGAAACTTGGCTAAATCTGTGACAGTGGAGTGAGTGGTAAGTCCATACAGTGCTGCTACCTATGGTCCAGCATGGCAATTACTTAGTGTTAGTTTTCTGGTGCAGGTTCCTATGTATCCTCTGTATTGAACACTTCAATAAGAATATTACCGTTGCCTCCAGTGCCTTTTATTACTTAGTAGTTATATTTGAATGCTTGCCCCCTCACTATTAATTTCATCAAGTTTAATATGAATTTAGATTTTTTTTACACTGAGGACTTCCTCTAGCAGTCTTTTCCAAAGGGATGTTGTTCTCATAATGGTGAAGACACTTTTTAACATCTATCTGGTATTGCCCTCTGTGCATAAAACTTTTTTGACTTGCCAACCCTACCTTCCTGTAGTAACTTCCTGCATCCATGATGTTTCTCCAACCACTTTGTCACATTTCCCAATGGTAATTTTGAAAACTTATATTCTGTATATGAGAATCAGTAGTTTTATTTTTTTAAGACATTATGAATATAGCTTTTCCAACATCCTGTTATGTCAACCTGCGTTGTTCTGTAGAAAGACCATACTGTGCTAGGGTAGTCAGACTGAGACCTCACAAACGATTAGTATACAAGAACAGGCTTTTTCCAGGATGGCATATTCTGCTAGCAATGGCTGACCTTGTGTTAGCTTTTTTCGCTTTTTCACATACTTGTTCAACTGTTTGATTTCCAGCTATGCAAACTCTGTGTCTTTTTCTTCCTTGACATGTTCTAAATAAGTTTTTTGTTAGGAAATGCCTTTCAATAAGTTCAACACATTTCTCAATGATGGAACCAGTAATTTAAAAAGTTTAATTTCTATTCAATTCTTCGGTGAGGTAACAATAGTCTGATAATTTTCTTATTAAATGAAAAGATGTGGTTATTTTTCACTTTTCATTTTTTAATTATTTATTTATTTATTTATTTATTTTTTTCAGATTGAACATCCAGGGGGTCTTCTTGAGGTACATACATCCTAAGGACAGTGTATTACAATTTGGACATACACTGGAATTATCAAGAACAAGGCCGACAACTCCCAAGTTCACAGACCAGCTGGAATGATGAAGTGTTATTCTAACTAAAGTGTGATCATGAAAAGACATTATTTTAGACCATATTTTTTTTCATTAATGTATTTACTAGTCAAATAGTCTGACACTTGATGCTTGTAAAAATATAGCTAGAAAAATCACTTTTTGTAGTCTGTAAGAATAAAATTTGATGAATTTGAAAAATGAAATTTACATGGGCATAAATATTTTCTTTCATACAGGCAGCAGGTGAATATGGTCTTTTTATTGTGTATAAACTTTATGCCCCTGAAAAAAAAAGCTATGCACAAAAAAAATTGGTGTGTGTGCAAATCTCTAGAAAACCATCGCATTTTCAATCAGTGTACAGGCAGATGGATAAATTCATTTGTCCATTATCTTAATTGTAATTTAATATATATTTTATCCAAGGAAGGGTTTGACAATTTACCATATATTAGAATCTTAGTTTTAGATAACATAATTAAAGTTACCTTAGTTTAGTTGGTGTTGCTATACCATATATTAAAAAAAACATTTATATCACCTCCACGCAGTGTTTGATGCCAGCTTTATCTAAACAAACATTTTAACCACAATGCTGCCAATATTTGAAGGTCAGATTGTATATTCCAGACTGGGTCCAGAGTCGATATCATCCAATATTGAAAAAAAAGAACTTGCTTGCTTTGAGATAAAGGAAATAGAAACTGGCCTAAGTAGTATACTTGTTGTGTGCATTTATTTTGTTTATGATGAGTGAAAAAACATGGTTTTCTCAAAGGACATTATCTAATACTATCAAATAAGTAGAGAATAGTTCAGCTGCCTTTTTAACTAGAACTGTGCAATGTTAGTTTCTTTTGGGCTTTTTTTGTTAAAGGTAAACTTTCAAAATATGTCCAAAATACTGTGTATTTTGTTATGAAAGATATATTTCAAACCCCTGAAGTGCACTCTGGTCATTATGAAAGTAGACATTTAAACACATGAAATGATGTCATCTGTTCAATATATGCCAAGGATAAGGGGTCTCAATAAAAAATTATATCATGAACTGTCATACCCATAAACACATTTCTTTTTAGAAATTTGCATTTAAAAGAATGCTAGTCAATTATGAAGTGTTTGAAAAATTATGTAAGAGAATGCCACTCAGCAAATTGAGTTCACATTCCATATTGAATCAGACTTAATTTATTGCCACCATGGTAATGGAGTGACATTTTTGTTAAATATGAATTGTATGTAATGTCAAATAATTGTTCTGAGCCTTAATTGCATGGTTGTCTGTTTGTATTTTCGTAGTACAAAATCGATCTTATGCAATTGAACTAGGATTATGTAACAAATGTGCATCGACCAGCTGATATGCAAACTAGATTTCTGAATGGAAACTATTTATGAACCATTCATTTTATTATTTCTTTGTGTGTAAAGTATCCCTTGATGTGTGATCGCTTTTAACAAAACTTATATACTTGGTTACAGACAGTGAGGTAGTCATATTTGCTTTCAATTAGCATGTAAGGATTGGTTGTGATGTGACTTACTTGAGGAATAATGTCTGGAAAATAAAAAATAACCATGGTTATCATTCTCTGCATTTCATTTACATTTTCTTCTGACAAATGGAAATTGATTATTTAAACTTTCTGAATCAAAATTGACTTATTTTGACTTGTAAAGTCTTCAGTTACATTTCACCAAAAATCCAATCAAAAACTTAACAACCTTAAATGTACGTTTTAATTCTCTCTCTGGGTTGGATGATATTACAGAAAAACTAAATTATCAGTGGACTCAAACACCCAGCTTGCCATATGAAACCTCCATGCAGTGTCTTAAATCATGTTTATAACAAAAAAGATATGCATAAAATAGGAAAAAACGGACATATTTACATAGCATTTCTTCAATAACATAAAGTGAGGTATTATATCAGTTTAGCACTTTTTTTCTGACTCTTTGTTGTCTGCAACTCTATCCTTTGTTCACCCTCTCATTCACAGCCTAACTGTTTGATCTGAGGACATGTACTTATCCTCCTTGTTCATCCTCCTTATTGGTGTCTGTGACCTCTGATTCTCTGGATTTGAACACAACCTGGGGACTGTCTTTGATATATGGTGGTGGCATGAACTTGATCTGGGGTTT